CCCCCAACAACAAACAAACCCACCAAACAAACAAAAAAAACCCCCAAAACAAGGCGACTAGTTTATAAGGTCATGCATCCTTCACGTTAAGATTAGTTTCTAGCCTATATTATTATGATCTATAGCTAATATGACAAGGACTGAAAATATTTTGAGTCCACGATACACGCATTCAGAGTTTTAAAAAATAATAAATTAAAATCCCAATACTCTAATATCTTACCTCTCCACCATTGTGGTTTGCATAAGGCTGCAGAAGATCAAGGACAACCTTCTCCCAACTGCTGTCCGCCTTGTCCGGGTTATCACTGTCCACCCTCCTCTCACTCACTCGGATCTTGAAGCTGTAGGTACCGGGAAGGTCCGGCGGGGGAGTATCGCCTCTCTCCCGATCCGTGGCGTAGAAGATGAAGAAGCGCCCGTTGTTGGCGTAATCGGGGTGGAAAGCCATGCCCAGAAAGCCCCTCTCGTCTCCGGAAAATCGGCTGAGTTCCACTTCATCCGTTAAATCCAAGAATGTTTCACTATTCCATTCTTTTGTTCGGATATTGTAGATCCTCACCTTGCCTTTCTAGAAAGCGAAGACCAATCGTTCAAACAAACAAACAAACAGACAAACAAACGAACGAACGAACGAACAAACGGACTAATGGACAACAGACTCATAGAAAGCTATTTGACTTGTGGTAACAAACACACAAAAAAGTGTTAGTCTTGAGGTAACAACTGAAAAAAATGCTTGCTTTTGTCAAGAATTATAGCAAGTTATAATCCAACGTAATTAACATATTAATTATTATATTATTCTTTCTCGCTGGAAATACTACAAAGGGCAATACTACCGCTGCAATGTGGATATCGCCTTCAAATGAGTCCTGCAGGACAATGACTTCAAACAAAAGACATTTCCCAGATAGTAGGATAACAATGAGCACACGTTTCTGAAAAATCAGTTAAATAATATACAGCAATTATACGCATGACTACTTCGATCTGTCTGCTTTTGTAGTTCTTTCACTGTCGTTACCTCCTCTGTGCTTTCTCCCCCCCTCCCTCCCTCCCTCTCTCTCTCTCTCTCTCTCTCTCTCTCTCTCTCTCTCTCTCTCTCTCTCTCTCTCTCTCTCCCCCCTCTCTCTCTCTTTCTCTCTCTCCCCAGCTCCTTCACTCTCCTCACATCTTTCTCTCACTCTCTCGTGCGGAGTAAACAATGTACACACACATTCTGGAGACAGGTTGTAGACCCACTGCTGTGACCACTAACGGATTTTCTGACGTCACTCGCATTGGATCTGGGCAGAAAGACGACATCCTAATTCAGCTGATTACGAACTCGACCAACGAAATGGAATACAATGTTCGATTGCATACAGCCTTAAAGTGGTTCTTGTCAGTTCCGATATTGTAACCTTTAGCCCAGCGCCAGAACCTTTTCGAGAACAACTCGATCAGTCTGTCTTCGATACACTCTTTTCTATGTCTACAACAGTGTGTGTTAAAACAACAACAACAACAGCATAAAAAACAACAACAAAACAACGACGACGACGACAGCAAAACGCAAAAGAGCGGGGTGCGTTGTGAGAGCAAGTGTTTTAGATGATTTTACATTCTCAAATGAAGGAAAACAAGAAGGAAAGCGTTTTAGATGAAGATAGGATCGAACCTGCACGAAAGCAACAAATCTTGCCTAAAAGCAGATTAAGACAAAAGTCACATAGAAAAAGAATCAGAAGAAGCTGGCAACAGAAGAGCGCCTACCACCCGCTCAGAAGAAAAGATAGAACAAAGGACGGGACTTACTTGTTGGGTAACAAACGTCAAAAAAAAAAAAAAAGGACGGAACTTACTTGATGGGCAACAAGCAGAGCAAAAGCCTGGGACTTACTTTTTGGGGCAACAAACAGATAGAACAAAGGAAGGGATTTATTTGTTGGGCAACAAGCAGATAGAACAAAGGCCGGGACTTACTTTTTTGTTCAACAAACAGATAGAACAAAGGACGGGATTTACATCTTACTTACTTGTG